GCCGTCATTGTTGTTTGGCGGGTCCGGGCTGGGGATTCGAACCCGCCACCTTAGGTGTACATGGCTGGCACCTTAGCCGGTTGAGCTATAGGTGCCAAGTCAACAACTCTACTTCTTAATACGTTTTATATATGAAAGTAATCTAAAACCATCAAAAGAAATAAAGCAGGCTTAAGTGCTGAATTTATATTGTTCAAATTAAAAAGAATTATAAAATATCAGAACTAGCATCTTCATTTAAGGAAAGGAACAACCAGACAATCACGATCCAAATATTCAGACGGGAACTGATGACTTCTCAGTGGCACACAATTTTATATAGCATTTACTTTCAACTTCATTATTTCAATTGATAATCAGCAGTACTTACCAGCTGATGCAGCAAGTACATCTTTACAAAGCTTTAACCAAAGGGAGAGTTTTTCCACTGCCATAGATGTTAGCATGTGATTTAAAGTCTCTTTGATATCATGACATAGTATGTGATCTGTCTCTTTGTCGAGTAAGGTCAATAATGCCCCTTCCAGTCCAAATTCTCTGATGTTAGCATCTGACAAGAAGAAAATCAATGCTCTTTAAGAATATAGAAAATAAGGGGGGTGCCTGTGGCTCAGGGAGGAGGGTGCCAGCCCCATATACCAAGAGTGGTGGTTCAAACTGGCCCCGGCCAAACTGCAACAAAAAATAGCTGGGCACTGAGGCGGGTGCCTGTGGTCCCAGCTACTCAGGAGACTGAGACAAGAGAATCTCCTAAGCCCAAGAGCTGGAGGTTGCTGTGAGCTGACACTATGGCACTCTACTGAGGGCAACAGAATGAGACTATCTAAAAAAAAAAAAATTATTTAAAAAACTCATGTACATAGGGAAAATTTAAGATTAAGACAATCCTTTGATCTGGATATAATCCTGATGAAAAGAATTACCTGGGGTCCATTCCTGTCTTCTATCCTTAGCAAACATAACAGCATGTTCTGAAACTTCAGCTGCTTCTCTCTGTACCAGCTGACGTAAGCAAGCCAGTACAGCTCTTCTCAGCAACAAGTAGGGACTACAAAGATTCACCTGAAAAACAGCATTTGAGTAATGAAAGCACTAAAATTCTTGGTAACACTCAGTAAGTCTAAGAGATATTCACCAGATCCACTTCTGATTCTGGCCAGCTCAGGATGAGCTGGATACAATTTATTAAACACATACAAACTTCTTGAAACTATTCTAGTATGTAGTTCTGATGATGTAACTTAGAAACAACTTTAAGGAGTACTACTGTACTAGATTATACACGATTCATGAACAAATCTAAGCAAAAGCCTCTTGACAGAAGATAGAATTTATACAAGTAAAAATAGTTTTCAGAGATAAAAGAAATGCAATTGGAAGGATGTATCTGAAGTTTATAACTCTGTGTTTATGCAACTATATCATAATGTTTACAGTTCTCTAAGTAGAAATTTATATAAATCCATAAAGGCAATAGAGCATAATGGTTAAAATGGAGGTTCTATAATCAAACCATCTCCATTTGTGTTCTAGATCCACCATTTACTAGTTGCGACTCTGGGCAAATTATTTAAATCCCTCTGTGTGTTAATATCTTTATTTGTAACACTAACACATCACATAGGGCTGTTGTGACATTAACACAAAATGATATACAGAGTGCTCACCACAGTACCCAATAAATAGTAAATTCTCAATAAAAGTTATTTTTACTATAGTCTCTAACAATAGTATTTTATTCAGATGAAATGTAGACTAAATAAATGCATTTAAAAATAAGGGCAGAGTTTTATTCAGAAAACATACAATGTAAATCTCGATAGGTTTTATCTAATTGTGGCAAATAAGATTTGTGATATAACTCATATGGTCAATTAAAGAAGTCAAAGATCTCTGGATACAAATTCTTACTCCATGGTTTCCTAAGTGAAATGAAGGATAGTGATTTTAAATTTATTTTGTTCTAAATTTAAAAGTAAAGATCAGTTTGCTATGGTCTACAACAATAAATATACATCTTACAATAGTGATTTTTCAAAGTTAAATTTGAGAAATAATGGCATGAGATTTGGCATACGTGAAAAAAAATGACTGAAGTAGGTGTGTTTATTGTAAAGAGCAGAGGTTAAATTTGGATAGGAAAAAAGAACAGGTGGTAGGAGTTGGTTTTCAAATTAGAAGAAACAAGAGAGCTAAATTTTATCAGAAGCCAAAAAACATAAAGTTTGTAAATACGTCATCAGTAAAACAGATGGATGGGAATGGCTTCATAAGTATGTTCTATTTTATCCTCAAGCTCTATCATAAACTCAAAAGTAGACAGAACTATAATTCACAGGAAAGTCTCAAGATAATGTCATTCTAGTCATGTTTAAGAACTCTGTTGTTCCTGTTAGAAACTAGTATATAGGATTAACAGAGAAGTTAAAATATAAAAAGACTAAGCTTACTCATGCCCAGGATTATTGCTGTATTTCAACAATAATGACAAAAAAACACTCTATAAGAAGATTTTAAAGAAAAGTTAATAAACCTACTAGCTATTTTAACTGGAGTTTTACAAGCATATAATACAAGGCAGGTGCAGCATTTACTCAGGCTGTTGAAATAATCTTTTAGAAAAAGCATGCTTACAAGTACTGTTTATTTGTTTGGCAGAAAGAAGACTAAAAGCTGTCACACAAAGCAAAACGGGAGGCTTACTATCTCCATGTCATTCTCCAGCATTTATGTTGGGAAGAGGAAAAGAGTGCTTTAAGGCAAACAATGCAAGCAAAATACAGAAATTAAATTAAGCCATAACTATAATTCCTTTCTAAAACGAATATATGGAGTATTAAATTAAAATGATGCAAAATTCAGTGCAAGGAGTGAGTACACCAGCTGGAGAAGGTTAGGAAGGATTTGTTTACATTGGTATTAAATAAACACCATGTAACATGCTACATTCCGGACTTTGCACTAATGGTTAGCTTAAACAAAGAGATGCAGAGGAAAACCAACATCTACAACCAAAACGACACAAAGAAACACCACTGCAAAACTCAAAACCAAAAAAACCCAAAAAAACCCAAACAAATAAAAGTTACGAATCAAGGGTCGGGGACCTACCAACACAGAATTATCCAACAAGATCTCCTGCACAAAAACAAATGACAGACCGGTCACGACAAAACCAAAAGATAAATACTAGGATGACTCTGACAACAGTCAGCTAAGCATTAAAATATAAATATTGATTGTTATTCATATTGGCTTAGCTTCAGCTTAAACGATATGCCACACATACTTTACTTTCCAAATTAACAAAATAGGAGCTGAGCCAAAATCTTGAATATACTCAATTCAAGAATTCCAGGATATAAAGATATAAAATATAGTATAATTTTAAAGTATATATTTTAATAATTAGGTTTTCCTTTGGAATCTCTGATTGCACCTCAATATCCAAGTTAAGCAGGCACGCATGTGAGAGGAGAGATCTGGACTGCAGTCACATAAACAGGTGTCCAGCAAGAGACAAAGTTAACAGTTTACCTCATCAGAAGTTAATAATAGCTCTTTCTTACTCTTAGAAGCCAAGTTTTAAAACTAAGAACACTCAGAATTGCTAGTGTGGCTAAGGCCAAGTTCAGAATGGAAGCTGAACAGCATGCAGTTAGAAGAAAATCCTTTCTAGTACGATTCTTGTCTAATGATGAAATGCAATTTTCTTGTTCCAGAGAGTATTTTTAAAATATTAAATATAATAAACCCAATCTAATAAATTTAGAATTACTAACCAATATATTAAGACATGTAATTAACACACTATAGTGATAGTAATTTTTGAATATGTATATACACACATATATATATTTTTTGAGACAGAGTCTCAAGCTGTCACCCTGGATAGAGTGCTGTAGTGTCACAGCTCACAGTAACTTCAAACTTTTGGGCTTAAGCAATTCTCTTGCCTCATCCTCCCAAGTAGCTGGGGCTACAGGCACCCACCACAACACCTGGCTATTTTTTTTGTTGTTGCACTTGTCATTGTTGTTCAGCAGGCCCGGGCTGGGTTTGAACCTGCCAGTCTCAGTGTATGTGGCTGACCCCCTACCCACTGAGTTATGGGTGCTGCCATGAATATATTTTTATAATAAAAATCATTACAGCTTAAATATTATATTTATCGTGAATAAGATTTGTAACTGTTATTTCTGATTTTCTCAATTACTCTGATTGCACCTGAAGAAAAAAATCTGACAATAGTCTCTATTCTTCTATATATATAATCTTTTTGATCTGGGGAAGGAAAAAAGGTAACAAGTCTTATAGAGCCTATTTACCATGAATTAGTGGTTAGTTTTCCTTTTCCTTTTATTTTTGAGATAGAGTCTTAATTTATCCCCCTCTGTAGAGTGCCATAGTGTCACAGCTCATAGAAACCTCTAACTCTTGGGCTCAAATGATTCTCTTGCCTCATCCTCACAAACAGCTGGGACTACAGGTGCCCACTACAATGCCCAGCTATTTTTACAGAGGTTTCCCTCTGGCTCACCTTGATCTCAAACCGGTGAGCTCAGGCAATCCATCAACCTTGGCCTCCCAGTGTACTAGGATTATAGGCATGAGCAACACACCTGGCCTGTTTTTCATTTTTCAATAAACTTTGACTAATAAATGAGTTAATGTATCAGTTAAAGAAGAAATTTGAAAAGGCTTAATAACAGAAATTTTCTACTACAATTTAAGAAGAAAAAATGGCAGTATCACTATATTTAAATGGAGACTGAAAGTTAGACCAATTTGCAAAAGAGTGAAAATTTTTTTAATAATTGACTTCAGCAAGGTTCTTCAAAGATAAAAGAGTAATGTTCCTGGCAGTGCCTGTAGCTCAGTGGGTAGGGCGCTGGCCACATAGACCCAGGCTGGCAGGACTGAACCCAGCCCAGGCCAGCTAAACAACAATGACAACTGCAACCAAAAAATAGCTGGGCGTTGTGGCAAGAGCCTATAGTCCCAGCTACTGAGGAGGCAAGAGAATGGCTTAAGTCCAAGAGTTGGAGGTTGCTGTGAGTTGTGATGCCAAGGCACTCTACCCAGGGTGCCACAGTGAGATACTATCTCAAAAAAAAAAAAAAAGAGTAATATTCTTGGGCAAAATTCCTTCAATAGTATAAGTAAAAGCTTTTTCCTGTAAGTGCTATTTTCCCTAATACAAAATTAATCCCAAGATCTAAAAAATATAGGACCAAAAGTTTTGGTCAGAAAAATCAGTCCTGGCTCGGTGCCTGTGGCTCAAGTGGCTAAGGCACCAGCCACATACACCTAAGGTGGTAGCTTCAAATCCAGCCGGGGCCCGCCAAACAACAATGACAGCTGTAACCGAAAAATAGTCGGGCATTGTGGCGGGCGCCTGTGGTCTCCGCTACTTGGGAGGCTGAGGCAGAAGACTCGCTTGAGCCCAGGAACTGGAGGTTGCTGTGAGCTGTGATGCCATGGCACTCTACCCAGGGGGATAGCTTGAGGCTCTGTCTCAAAAAAAAGAAAAATCAGTCCTGTGCTTGCTTTGGCAGCACATATACTAAAATTGGAAAGACACAGAGATTAGCATAATCCCTGTATAAGGATGACAAATTTGTGAAATGTTCCATATTTTAAAAAAAGAAAGTCATATCCTTTTTTTAAAGTTTTATATGACTATAGCTATCAATAATTAATACAATGGGTAATATATGTTTAAGACACATGTCAAGACAAGAAAAGCAACTACCATTCTAAAATGCTAATTAAGTGCCTGGGATAGTGCTTTTTACATGCAGCGCTTGGTGTAATCCTGTGTTTTACAGACAAGGAAGCTCAGGCTATTATAGGTTATGGGACTTCGCTAAGGGCACATAGCTCAGCCTTCCCACAGCTAGGCTCTCCAGAGAGTTAAGATAAGATCTATCCACAAGGCAGGGCATGGTGGCTCGTACCTGTAATTCTAGCACTCTGGGAGGCCGAGGTGGGAAGACTGCTTGAGCTCAGGAGTTCAAGACTAGCCTGACCAAGAGTGAGACTCTATCTCTAAAAATAGCTGGACATTGTGGCAGGTGCCTGTAGTCTCAGCTACTCAGGAGGATGAAGAAGACCACTTGAGCCCAAGAGTTTGAGGTTGCTGTGAGGTATATGATGCTATGGCATTCTATTGAGGGTGACAAAGTGAGACTCTGTCTCCAAAAAAATTTATTTTTAAAGATCTGTTTATAAAATCTACAAAGGCAGTAGGGAATAATGAACTAAGGGGCTGAACAAGGAGCCCAGGAACATGGATTTTACACTTAAGAGTTAGCTACTGCTACCTAGATGTGTTACCTTGGGCAAGACAATTGACTGCTTGGTTTTCAGTTTATCTTATTGAGATTTGTTTTAATAATGCAAACATCATTCTACAAAAGTAGGGATAATCTATGTGACAGATTTTTAAATTCTGAGCTTTTTTCAAACTCTGAAATGCTGTGCATTCTGCTTCAAGATTGAAAATGAAAGGTCTATCAAATGTAATGATTCTCAACTGCCATGTTACTAATAGGAAGTGTGCTGTGAACACTGCAGGGGCAGAAAAAGTTGAAAAGCAGGTTGTCAAGTTAT